CCACTAAAAGCAAACCCTCTTTTATGGGGGGGAGGCAACTACTCTGGTTTCCTTAAGAGAAAGGCAGGATGTGGGTTGAACTCCTTTCCAAGTGCTGGAACTGCTTCCCAGGTCAGCCTCTCGTTCTGATTGTTCCTGGTGGTCTCCCATCCCATCCATGGAAAGAGAAAGCAGGGCAGCCCTCCTTACTTGAGGGGCCCATGATCCCTCCAGAGGAGCAGTGCCATGCAGTCAGGGGAGGCAGGGGAGGCACAGACTCACCGCTCTCACCATGAAAAGAAAAAAAATGTAAAAGGGAAAAGGCGAGTGCTGAGGTGAGGCTAGCTAGCTGCTGGCTCACTGTGAATAACTGCCTAACTGTTTAAAAAAGCCTTTAAAAAAGCACCCTCTACTATGAGGCAGGAGAGCTGCGTGCCTCACTTACCTCGGGATTTTTTAGGCTTTTAACCCCTGCTTAACTCTGCTCGAGCGATCATAAAACGCCTAAAAAGGCAGACTAGATGAGGCATGCAGTTCTCCTGCCTCATAGTAGAGGGTGCTTTTTTAAAGGCTTTTTTAAACAGTTAGGCAGTCATTCACAGTGAGGCAGCAACTAGCTAGCCTCACCTCAGCACTCGTCTTTTCCCTTTTACATTTTTTTTCTTTTCATAATGAGAGCGGTGAGGCTCTGCCTCACATGACTGCATGTCACTGTTCTTAATATATACAATGTTCCGAGAAGCACAGTTTTTTGCAGTTCCGCAGGTGTTATTGCAGGAAGCTGTAATTTGTTGATGTATCTTATAAAATTATTGGACATAGTACCAAGTGCCCCGATGACAATGGGTATCACTGTTACATATTTCATCCATAATTGAGTAGGTTCGATGGCCAGGTTGCAGTATTTCATGATTTTTTCCAGTTCTTTTTCTTTGACTCTGGCATCTCCTGGTACCACTGATTATTGTTGTTGTTGTTGTTGTTGTTGTTGTTGTTATTTCATACCGATGAAAATTAATGAAATTTCTTGGAAGTGCTAATGCAATGCTATTTCCAGAAGCAGGATTACTAGATCCAGAAGTCTTTTAATCTCTCTTACAGTTTCGTAGAGAATATTTAGTAGAGAGGTTTAAGATTTTTCAAGAGTTCATGCAAACTGGAAATAGATCTAGAACTTCTATTGTTAATGATTTCCAAAAAATAATAATATTAGTCTTTTACAACAAAAAGAAAAAGTGTTGAGACAGTGTAAACTAAGACATTCATTATCATGTGAGCTTTTATGAATTACAATCCACTTCATCAGTTGCTTATTTTTGTCAATAAGTAGCCATGGCCCTGGACTTTCATACAAGGTTCTTAGTAATACTAAGATAAGCTTTGCAATTCAAAATAGTTATATATTTTTTCATAACAGAGCTGTCCCTCAACCTATAGTGGCAATCTATAGGTTTGTTAGTTATTTATCTTGTATCAGCAACACTATTAAGAGCTCAAGTGAATATTGCCCTATTTATTCTTACTAACAGGTAGACATTTTCACTATGGTCCAGCCATTAAAAGACAGCTTGAAAAATTTGGATTACTTGTAGTGACAAAGAAATTAATTTATAATGTTTAGAAAATATGGAGAAAGGGAATATTTTTCTTAATGTCAAAAATTTAATCATTGGAAAAGACTGCTAGGGGACTGTAGATTAAAATTGCAATGAAGTATTATATAGTTGACTTATATAGTTAGCTGAACTGAATGTTACAAATATTTCTGTTTTGTTGAAAATATATAGAGACCTGGGTATTTAGGATCTGGATGAAAGTCAGAAGAGTATTGCTATCCAGCTAAGCAAATACTTTGTTTAACCTCTGATCCTCTATTGTATAGTTCCATCTGAAACCTCTCTCGCCAATCTCCTGTGGGCTCTTATTGTATTTGTTCTAATTCTACCTGCTTCTCCAAAATTTTGTTCTTCAGCCATCAAGTTCATGTGAAGGAAGAACCAGCTGAGACAGAAGATGACAGCAGACCTGTTTCTCTCATGGCAACTACCAATCAGAATGTGACGATTCCTGATGACAGAGACCTAGAGGAGGAACTGCCAGTGGAAGACTTGTCTTAAGGGTCCTGCATCTTCATATAGGGCCCATCATTTCCCAGAGACAAAGCAATGGCTCCCACCTTCTCAAGGTGACCTTCAGCATTACTTAGTTAAGGCACTTCTACAAAGCAAAAGGCTTTCCATGAGCCTACCCACTGCTGAAGGCACACACTTTTTCCCCCTTTTTACATCCCAATGACTCTTAAAAGACATTCACAGAGGGGATGTGAAAACAAAAACAAAAAACGGAGTTGAGCTTTTTCCTTTTCTTATTTTTTTTTTAAATTTTGTAATTGGTAAACGAGGATGGTAGGTTGTTTCTGTCCGAAGACTTCTTTGCTGCCTCCCCTCCCCATACCCCCATCTCATGGGGATAAAAAAACAAGCTGTCTTGTATTGTCTGCTCTGTGTTTTGTCATTTTCAACCCATATGCCTGGTTTCCACAAATCAAGATTTTGGAAGCATCCAGTACATTAAGGGGCAATATCAAAGCCAAAGGCTTCAGTGAATGTCCCTTATTTTCCCATGGAAATTTTCATTAGTTTGCCAGTAATCCCACTGAGAACTTTGCACTAGGAGGAATCTATTCTCACTTTTTCTTACTTTCACACATGCACTGTCCCCATTTCTCACACACATACATCCTTGCCACTGTAACACCACTTCAGAGTACTGGAATAGCAATGGAAGCAAGACCTCTGCCAAGGTCCTAATGTTGCAATTTATGTTCATTTTCTGACTGGGCAAAAAAATGAAAAACTGACTTTACTTTATTAAATACATTATAGGATAGCAAGGGGTTACTGCCACACATAAAACCACTTGGTTATTCTTTTTTCCATCCTGTGTTTGCGTCTTTCCAAATTCAAGAAGCATTCTTCTATCACCAGTCATGATTGACAGCCAGTCTTCAACTCACAAAGCTTTATTCTGCACAAAATCCAGGAATGAATGTCCATTCCCTGCCATCACATAATTTTAAATAACTTTCAGAAACCTTTACTGTATATGGGCAGCCAGCAGCCAAGATAATGGGGCCCAGCTTGAGACAAAATCAGGGAGAGACTTCTGCAAGATGAATCTTTTGCTTGCTTCTATCAGCTGCCATCCTGTTTTTTCCATTCCAGCAAATACTGAAGCCAGAAAGCATGACTCCTTGATCGTTTATCAATGGGAAGTTTTAACAGATGTAAATACAGCTGATTTGGCAAAGCCACCAACATCTCAAGCATTTGGGATAGGAAAGGGGGGGTTAAGCTGAAATTTATGGCTGTAGAGAACAGACCAAAACTGGGTTGACCAAACAGAATTCAAAGCAATATACCTGTATAAATGTAAAATAAGTAATTCTCCACCTTTGTGACCAACCAGACAAAGCTACAAAGAAGCACAGAGTTTCCTCAAACATTCTCTAGTAGAAATATATTGTATCCCACAACTCTTGTGCTACTCATTAGTTCTTAGCTGTAAGCCAATGTGGGTGGGTGGGGGGAGATGCTTCAAAACTAATAACAAGAATTAAATGTGTCAGATGAATAGTGTTGACCCAGACTTGTCCCCATACTTGATTCTATCAACTCATTGTCTGCTGCCTCATATCAGAATTTTTTTAAAAAAAACTAAAGAGCATTTCGTGTGACAGAAAACATCAGGTTTCCAAAAGCTACTTTGCTATTGCCCCCATGAAAGGACAACCCAAATGCTTCTCCTTGATTACTGAGACTTTGACAGTTGCTGATTGAGAAACTGGTTTGCTTTCTGTGTGATCAGAAATCCAATATCTCAAGGAAGATGGATACTAATGTTTCTAAGGAAGCCTTTCTACAACAGATCAACACATGCTTCCCTTTCCCATCAGGAAATCTCTGAAATATATTTTCAGGCCAAATTGGTATATAGGAGTTTCTCCCATTATTTTGGAGACAAGCTGATCCAGGCAATTTGATGTTTTCTGAAAAGACAGCTGTTTCTATTCTATATTCTGTAGCCCATGAAGAAAATAAATCATCATAGCTATGTTTGAATAGTCACATTGAACATTGATAATTATGTTAAATGACCTCCCCAAACTAAGATAGTCAAGAATACTTTGTCAGCATATTTCTGATTAATTTAGGATTCCTTTCTACTCTTCTGATTTTCATCGTTAAATAATGCTTTTCCATTGCTCCAAATACTATGCCGCTCATGGCAGTTGGTAATATGTAACATAAGTGTTTTTGACTTAGGAGGGGAAGGGAGAAGAGGGCTATTGCATTTTCCTTATATGCAGAATTGCTCCATTTGTCTCAAATACAGTACATTCTTAGTGCCCTTTTCAGCAGCTGGCTAACTGTGGTAACAGACTGTCTTAAAAAAAAAATGCTCTTAACTCACAAGATTATAATAAATCAAGTAGCACTTGAGCCTTTTTACCTACCACAAAAAAGGACATTATTTCTGAATTGCCACAAATTTCTGTTTGTACAAGATTGGTATCAAATTTCTTAGCCCAAATCAAATTCATTCTCTTTTTTTAAAAAAAGATGGAGGATTATTCTGAGGATTATTCTATCCAATAACTCTAAAACACTGGGTAATTTCTATTTACTCAGTTTTACAAATATATCCATTTCCTGGATAGGGCAGGTCATACTAGCATTTAAAAAAAGGAAAGGAATGGTAGCTAGCTGATCTTGGCCAGTCTCCATATTTTTTTCATGGATGGAAGCAAAGGCTTGACTTCAAATCTCAGACTTGGTAAAATTTGAAAATGTTGTATCTAATTTTTGGCATTATCCATCTAACAAGCAAGTTTATATACTTCCTTTCTAAAATTACCCTATTCCAAGATTCTCAATTTACTAAATAATGTGTCAAAATAATCCAAACTGATTTTGAATCTAGGTAAAATCAAGAACACCAGCAATGAAAAAAAAATCCATATCTGAATTTTGACTGCAAGAAATTCCACAATCTTTACTTCAGAAAATTTGTCAGGATTTGATTTCCGGAGCCTACAGTAGAAGGCTCTACCGAACATGCATTTTCTCCTACTTTGTTTCCTACTGTTTCTAACAGGCAAGCAAAATTGTAAAGTTTGTCATTTAGATAAAATTAGCTAATTGCTCTGATTTGAAAGGGGCTGTACAATTAAGGGAACAAAGAGGAACAGCCTCTAAGCTGCAGAAAACTGGAGATGATCGTGTTTATGGGGTGTGAATCAAAGTACAATAGCTTGTTTGAACCTCCTTAGAGAACCATCAACAAGTGGCTTGCTCTTCAAGGATCACAAAGACAGGCAATATAGGATTGCAGGCAGTAAGAATACCTCAACACTTTTATTATCCATCTCCTGGCTCCCCGCTTTACTCCAGAAGCAGCTCGAGAAAACCTATCTATCCTCCTTTTATTAAGAACACACCACACCTCATTTTCTTCCTGGGACCATATTTAAATGTCTCCCTGGTGTCCTCTATAGAATGCTTTGCAATTGGCTTAACCATTTACCAAAGACCTTGCTTAGACAAGAAGCATAAACCAAAACACTTAATATTTTTGTTTTTGTGGTGCTTTATTCTGACTTATCCTAACTTTTGGCATCAGCCAAAAAGGAAAAAAAATCGCAAAGATCCTGCATCCCCTTAGCCCTTTTGTCACTTTCTTTTGATTTTAAGTTATTATTTAAATCAAAGTTTACAGGTGCTGTTTTGTACATTTCTAATGAAGTTGTATCGGGAGCATGGATTGCTGCTTTGTGTTTGAAGTTTCTTGAACCAAGGGTACGCTGTGAAGCCTAGGGTGGTTTGGCATTCCATGGGTCTCTTCTGAACCTACTTCCATCTTGCTGCTGGTGGTTTCTTTTCTTTTTGTCTTTTTATAGGTCAGAACTGTCTTTATTTCATGTTAACTTTTCAGCTGTTTTTTATACACATTGAAATTTCTCTCTTTTGTTGTTAGCATTTTTTCTTCTTAATTTTCAAAGGGTTAATTGCCCTAACCCCTTCCCCTTCTCTTCCCAAAACTGGTATTATCTTTGAAGCACTGTTGGGTAACTTATGTTTTTGAAATACAGCAGATTCCTTGTAACGTCTCAAACTTTGGACTGATGATCTACAAATTGCACTCTGTGAATTAGAAAATTCTAAACATAAAATAATGTTGCAGGAGTTGCTGAAGTCACATCCTGTAATTGTTTCCCATAAATAAAACCTCCTAGTTTATAGTAAAGTCATGCATCAGGAAAACAAATTATGCATAGTTTATTCCTAAATGTATGCAAGTTTTCTTTTCATTGATTTTTTTAAACTTTGGGTTGCATTAAAAAAAACAGATTCTTGCAGCCTAAAATGATAAATTCTGGAATGTGTAATGTTTAGTCTCTGTGCGTGCACTGAGGTGCTTTTTTGAACTTTGTTTGATATCACAATTTGTAGTGCTCCATTGTGTCAAATTGCTTTGCAAACAGTTTTAGAACTAAATGGCTATACCACGGTGCTGTTGTATTTTGTCCTTGGCTCCCTTTTCTGTCAATCCTAGTATTACAGCTGCATTATTATAAGTTTGATCTTTTCAAAGTTGCCACCATCCTGATTCACTGATCTCGGTTTTTTGTCTTGCCTGGTCCTGGTACAATATCAACCGTTTGTTGGACATCTGCAGCTGGACCTGAGATGCCCAGGATATACGTTTTCTGCCAGTATTAAAGTGATGTTTGTTGGTACTGTATAGTCAAGAGCTAAACTGTAATCATCCTAACATTGAGAAGAGATTCGCTTTAGAAATATAAGTGTCTCTGTTCAAATTAAAACTTTTGCCTTGCTGTTTGGGTTTGTTCATCCTTACCCATTTAAAAAGAGAGGCACAAGAAAAAGAAAGCATGATAGATACACTGATGCTAATAAATGAATTACCCAATGTAAACTGAGAGCTAATTAGTACTCGATTATAGACCTAGGATGCGCTTCAGATTTCAAGGAGAAAAGGTGCTTTGGTACATGTAGGGGAGCTAAAGTAGCATCTTGTTAATATGGCAAAATATTTTGAATTTAAGGCATTCCAAGCAGGCTATACACACCCACCCTTACTAGCTTCAAAGCATATTTTTACCTTCAAATCCAAACCATTGCAAAGCCTAACTTGGCTGTTGTTGCAGTGTTGCACAATATGTATTTAGCAGATTCCAAAATTAAAAGTTTTCCAATACTATCTCATTTGGGGTAACAGAATGGAGAAAGGTCATCTGGGGCTACAGAACTGAGCAAAAGTTATTGCCAGACAGAAAGTTAATCTTTAAGCATTTTCAACCATATACTAGACAGTCATTGGGCAGAGTTTCCCCCCAATGCATAGTCAAGCAATATGCTACTCTCGCTGTTCCAAAGAAACAGTCCAAGAAACAATTGGATAATTCTTTGGTGAATATCTGTAATTTAGGTTGACTTTCTGAACCTGGATGCTGCTCTAGAAGCATCCCTAACCTCTGTTGTTACTATACTGGTAGCCTTCCATAGTTTTTTTTTTCCTTGAGAATCTTGAAAAAGTTGGGGATGTTTCCCTTTCATCCTATCCATAATTCATTAGGCATTTACTATCTCTCAGGGGAAATGATTTCAGCCCTTCACTGCTGCACAAAGACAAACAATGCAGCCTCTAGAATCCAGTTTTGCCCAAAATGGAGCAGCTCCAGAATGTATTTCGTGGCTAAAAAAATCCTGCCAGTTTCAGCTCTTTCCTGCCTTCATGTGACAGTATTAATATATGTGTGTATCCTCAGAGGATAGCTTTAAACCTAGCTCTCACAGGATCTGTCTATGCTTAACTATGTCAGATCAGCCTACAAGAGGGAAGGAAGTCATGTGACTAAATTGTCATCTCATAGCAACTTTCTTCCATGTAGAATTTTAAAAAAAATAATAAATGGAAAATTTAGCCACATGATCTGCTACTTGAAGCCTGAAGTGGTACAACTCAAAGACAGGTTTATTCATTGAGAAATAATTGTTTCTTTGAAACAATTGAAGGAAAATGTTTTAGGTCTTGGATGCTGTGACAATATTAAGTTCCTCAAACAAGTGGCCCTTTTCTTCCATTGCTTTCCCCATCTGCTTTTGAAGTGGATGAGCTTTAAAATATTGGGTGTGCTTTCTTCAAATGTCTGCCTTATGTGATGAAGCTAGGCTTCTGTAACCAACTTGTCAATATGAGAGGTGGATAGATAACTTTTACTGTTAGATTGGCTTAGAATCTAGGCCTGGCCCTTAAGGGAACCAGCACATATCTAAGAATTGGAAAGTAAGAAATGAGGCTTTGGAATCATGGATTTTTATTCAAAATTGTGCCTGTGACTTAAAGCAAAATTATTGTATCACCATAGTTCTTGGGGTTGTTTTTATTTTTTTGTTTTTATTTTTTTGCTGATTCTGGCATTCCCAACAAAGATTACTTAGAACTGTAATTTCATTTATTCAGTGTTGTCAAACTGTCCCAATAGGGGGAGGGGGGATTGCAAAACATTTTTTTACAAGTCAACAATGAAATAAATTGAGAAGCAGATCCTAAATCTATTAAATTTCAATTAAAATCTGTCTGCTGATTACACTTGCAATTAATGAGGACTTGCATTATATTTACCGGTATTTCTCTTGAGAGCTTTGAGAAGCCTACAGGACTTTAAATGTATTTTTCTAATCCTGATATATCTCTTTAAAGTATACTGAAGAAAGAATGTAATTCAGTATCACTGAATAAATATGCTATTCCCTAAGATCTTCAGTTTGGGGTGATTTTGTCCCCCAACAACTTGGAAATTGGAAGTTTCTCCCAAATTGAACTGCTAAAGCTTTAGTTCCCAACATCTGACATCGCTGATGCTGTTTTGTTTAAGTGTACCACATTTGGCCCCCTTTTTTCCTAATTATGACTTTGAGCATTTGTGTCCTGAATTTGATTGCATATCACCTATATCACCATTAAATAGAGTGAGCAAATCACAAGCAAATGATGACCAGTTGGTTCTGCCCTGGTTCTTTGGTTAGTATTTGTTCTGTTATAATAGCATAAATTCAGATAAACATAAAAAATAATAAATGGCACCTAAGGAATCCAGGGCAAGGGTGGGTGAGAAAGAATGTTTACTCTGTATTAAAAGCCTATTTAAATTTTAGCAATAAAATCTGTCCTCCTGGCTTCCTTCCTAGCAAAATCAAGCAGTTAAAGAGAAGGATATGCCTATTTGAGTAAGCACATTGAGTAGGTACTAAAGCCATTATTTCATCTGCAAGAGTCTCTTTTAACATTTACAAACTCATTGGTCCTTCACTTAGATTATATTTCTCCTATAAGGGTTTATTGGATTATTTCTAATTCTATTTTTTGGTCTGTGTATGTGTGTGTGTGATCAGCAAATTCACCTCACTTTTTCACTTGAATGATGTATATGCAAATATACATGAACCCAGTAAGAAATAAACAGTGGCATATATGTAACTGCTTCTACTTTATCAAATATGCCCATGTATTATTATTCCATATTCCAATACTATTCTTCCATTCATCCTATGGAAGAATAATATTTAAAATTTTGTGCTGGAGGCCTCAAACGTTTGGGATTTTATTTTCCTCATCCCTAATTCCTGATTGCTGAAGCAACCCACTGGTGTGAGCCTTGAGGAGCACCCTTTCTTTGGCTACTGCTACCAGTGGCATTCTTCCCAGACTCTTGACTACATTAGGTACATCTATTTTTGCACATTTATGTCCACCAAATTATTTCATTCAGAACTGCATATAGTACTTATTTGGGGGAATTTCTTTTTTGTCTTTAAAAAAATATTTTATTTTTTGTTGTTACCTCAAAATTGCTTTTAAAGGGGTAGTGTAGGAAAGACCAAACACAATTTGTGGCAGGATAGTATATGTATATATTGATATATATGCTGGTTAAAAACCTACTAAAATTAGACTATTGTCTGTTTAACTATCCTGTGATGAGACTAATGCAGGGAATACTTAGGAAGGTTTTTTTTTTCCTTGTTCTGGAATTTAGGAAGCCATTCTTGTATTTCTCTTTGACTTGACTTGGATGCTGTTCCAGTTCCTTATGTTGTTTTTAGCTTGTTTTCTCTCTTAAACTAGTCAGTAGAAATAGTGGGAGGAGATAGATGGTTGCTGAAAAGAAACTGGGATAATGATATAATTTCCTTTCCCTCAGTGGTTCCTGAAATTAGAAAAATAGGAACAGAATAAAAAAAAACCATTGTATTAAACCAAAGGTGTGCGTATTTCAGTTTTGTATGTTTACATAATTTTAATAGAGTTATTTTTCAGGGTGAACGACAGAAATCCTACTCTGAAAAAAAAACCTAGGATTTTGCCCCATACTCTGAATTGCTGGTTGCCCTGATCCACATAAATGTGGAAATACTCCATAATTTGCAGGGGGACATTTTGTTTGTTTTTCCAGATTTAGATATATTCCAAAGTGCTGAAGGTTTGTCATTTTGGAGTCCTCTTGTTGTTTTTTAATAACCATGTTGTTCTACTATAGAAATAAGATTTGAAGACCCATTTCTCCACCCTTCATTTTGACGGGATGCTCTATGAAACAATGTTTCTCTGGGCCCTCCCAAAGAGTTGAGGCTCTGCTTCACTTGGCATTCTTGTCTTCCAAATCTCTCAACTGAATCTCAGGTGGCAGGAAAACACCCAAGAACCAATGATTGGTGACTCTCGAATTGTATCAGCGTAAGTTCAGCATGAGCCAGCGGGTCTCTGATCTCACTGAATGAAAATGGGAGGTTAACATGCAATGATCTGATTTTCTCATTTGTAATATTTTATGTTGGCCCCAAGGGGCTTCTTCTAATTAAATCTTCTCTGTTGCGAATAGGTATCTTCTCCCTCATACTAGTCCCCAATGTGTGGTGGGAAGGTGGGGGACACTGACATGTCAGCACCCTGCTGTCATTTCCTTTTCCTGCCACTCAGGAAGATATAAGGAAAGAGGCGAGACATGCAGTGACCTTTAATATTGTGGGTTTTTTCTTCCTCACATTTGTTGGTTTGATGTGATCATCCTTTTAGCAGGTGGCAAGTCAGTGTGAAGTGAAAGATTACTGGGAAGGATGTCTGTAATCCTTTGATCCATCCTCCTCTTACTGCTTCACACTGCCATATTTCCATGCTGTATAAAGGAAATAGCATTGCTGTGTATTTGTATTCTGGACTTCTGTGTGTCTGCTCTGGCAGACGGTAAACCCTTGTACAGTAGATCTAGCTGCATGTAATCTGTATGGACAATGGCATTATAAAATGCAATAAAATTAAATTACCTATGAGGTGGCTGTGACTTCTTAAGAATATAATTCCTCCAGTTTCTCTATACCATTGTTCCTTCTGCATACAGTTCTCATGCTTCTTTCATGTGGTCTTACCTTAGAAAAATGGCTTCACTCAATATTTTAATACTCTGTGTATGTTAGCAGCAGACACATTTTTCCACATATAGTATTTTCGTGTTGCTTTGTTCTATAAATTGAGTTCTTATTAACTGCTTTGTGGGAGCAATTTAACTTTGTTTCCCCTTCTCCCTCCCACCCAATATGTAAAAAAGAGACCAATGATATTGAGGGTGATACAGTCATGAAATCACAGATGGAACTATTAAATGACTCACTGCTTTTTAAATGAGTTATATTTTCTGGCAACATCTTGATTCATTTAAGCTAACATTGGTCCAGTTATTAAATTCTTACTCCTTTTATACTCAAATCCTACTCATCAGCAACCCAAAGGAACATCTGTCTCCTGTAAAGAACATCTTCCCCCTTTTTAACATGTCCAAGACATCCAATACCAGTCTGGTTATCCTTAATGTAGTAATATTTTAAAATAATCTCAGAGAACCCATGATCTGTACAGCTCCAAGCATAACTTCCAGGTGCAGAACACTTATACAGTAATGCCTTTCTAATAATTGATTATGTTATACACTAACTGCCAGGAATCTACAGGACATCAGAACATCTACACCCAGGAATCTGGAGTAGATCAGAACATCTTGGGGTAATTTTTAATTTACTTTGAGTGGCATAAACAACTTAAACGGTTCTATCTCTGATTCAAAGAGCTCCATAGAGCCATGGTGCCCTGCGTGGTGATGCAGTGATTAAAATAACTCCAACCACTGCCAGCAGTTCAATCCTGACCTGCTCAAGATTGACTCAGCCTTCCATCTTTCCGAGGTTGGTGAAATGAAGCCCCAGGTTGTTGGAAGCAATATGCTGACACTATAAACAACTTAGAGAGGGCTGTAAAGCACTGTGAAGTGGTATATAAGTCTTAAGTGCTACTGCTGGTACTATATCCTGATTTTTTTTCAGGAATGTTGTGTTTAGTCTTTTGCAATGCCTTGAGAAGAGGAAGGAAGGAGAGTATTATTAATGAATTGATATATGCACCCTCAAATCAGACTGATTATCATGATAACATTACCATCTTTTTGTCTACTACTACTATCTTGAAGACTAGATAGAGAAAAGGTGTTGGAGAATCCTTCAACTATTTTGTCTCCTGTTTCTGTCTTCCCATCTACAGAAGCAAAACTTTTGTAATGGTTAACAACCTGACTGATTTAGATATTATGTTAAGTTTATATTCTCCCCACTTTTAATACTTGACAAATTCACTGCATTCATAAAATAATTAGTTATTCCTTACCCCTGCCTCCTCTTATCATCTGCTTGTATTTTAACCCATTTATCCCCTATACCTTGTATGTCTTAAACATCTTCACTCAAGATAGAAAAGTATTGGTACTTTGTAAAATATAAAATAGGAATTTAAAGGAATATAGTTTGGAAAAGATGCACAAGTTTCTATAAAACTGGCATGCTTTATTTATTCATAGAAATCTTAACGTTCCTTCTACATTTTGTTGTATTCTGGTAAAAAATCAATTAACAGAATAATATTTGGAACTTTAGTAACTGATCATAAAGATAGTTCATTTTGTGCTAATATTTATGATGAGCATTGGTGAGCATCCTCTATTTACAATGCTTTCCTGCATGCTTCATCCAATTTTGGTTTTATGGAGGAATGCGGGGGATTTGGGGTGAGGAGCATGAAGTAACAGCTGTTTGGTTTTCTATGCTAGATAATAAAAGATTGGGGATTTTTCTCCCAATTCAGATAAGTTGGGACTGTGTCGTCGTCGTCCCCTCCCCAGTTTGACATAGTGTAGATTGGTTTTACAGGGCCAAATACATAACTACACAAATGGAACACACTGAGACCAAATAGCTATCTTCTGCAGGCAGGAAAGTAACCACTAACTGGTTCAGTTTCTCAAGGCAAAGGCAGGGATTTTTTTTTCTAGATTCCTAGTTATTTAAAGTGCTAAACTCTTACTAAAACTCTTATTGGTATTCAATTAGTCCAATTTGAAAATGATAGCCGTTTCTCTACCCTTTCCACAGGACGAAAAGAGTTGTTTTTGCAAGATTGAGGGGAGTCCCAACTTTTTTTTAAAAAAAAAAAACCTATGTTTTTCAGACAAGATCTTGAGATAGTCTGAAAGAGAAGATTCAAACAAAATGTTATCCTTGCTTGCTTGACGATAGGTATCTTTTCGAGCATCTTTGTATATATTGAGCGATCGTATGTGCATTTTTGAGTGCATTATTCATAAATGAATACACTCCATGTTAAAAACCATAGTGTCTATCTGTGACTTAGAAAGAATCATAATGAGTATCCATCAAAACAGTTAATAGAAAAATCTTTCCTTAATATGGTCTTGCTAGATTGTTCCCGATAAGTTCTTGTCCCAAACAGACAAGTACTCTGAATTTTACAGACTAGCATATATGAATCTACAGCCTTCCTCCACCACTTCCTCCTTAGTGACCAATTTTGTACCAATTGTCAAATCATAAATGCTCAATGACAGGGAAGCCTAGTCTATGCTATCAGAGATAACATGGTCAAGGTATCTCTGCATTGCATTAATGCCACATTTCATCTCTTGTATTCCCTTCCAAAATAGTGAGAAGAAACTAATAAGAACACCAAAAATACTGTGCAACTGGCAATGTTCACATTGATGTTGCATGCTAAAATCCAGTCAGGTATGAGGAGGGCCAGTATGTAGCAAAACTGACATGCTTCTATAACATTGTGATATTTCTATTCATTTGTATTAAATTTGAATCCCTCACTTCTACATATGTAAACATTGAAAGTGCTTTATTCTATGTCATTTGAAATAAAATGGTTTGAAGAAAGGGCTTGAATAACTGCTTAAACATTATGCAAATGTAGCCTTGTCACACACCTTTCCCAGCTGATGTCAGACATTGTGCCATGGAGTTCTCAGGTCTGGGAATGAAACAACTGTGCCATAGATATAAGGGCACTGAAGTGGGGATTATTTGGAGATTCCTACATGCTTGGGTTTGCACCCTGAGATTTATAAATATGTGCAATAAATAATCATGGTTTTGGCTAACAGATTCACAGGAAAGGAACAGAAGATAATGTGCTAAAATGTTCAGTAAAGCTGCTTCAAAGGACACTTGTATAACAGTGAAATTACTTTTGCTTAAGCAAGTCCTGCTTAAGAAAGTTTTGTTGTACAGTATTCTGTGTTGTTTTGTTTAGGAGAGGGGAAAAAAGAACCAGAGCAAAACAATGGTTAGAACTTTGTTCATTTTCTTATAGGAATGAATACTAATGTACTATCTAGAATCTTCTTCTCATTTGTCCATTTCAAATATATACCCTTCAACTTACAGAATATTTGGCAGTGGTCACCATAATGCTCACTTCACAGAATAGCTAAACTCTATTCATTTGGAGGTACTCGGATTGAGGAAGGCTGACCTGGAGCACTGGGTAGGAAGCACATGGTATAAAATATAAATTCAAACTAGAGGGTTGAAGAATTGGGGCTAAATCATGTTTCTCATCCCCAGCTAGCAACATCTATGGTAGAACAGAAGCAGAAGATAGGAAACGGAATAGAGCCCAGGCATTGCCCACTTCATAGCCTAGCTCTTTACACATACAGTAGATACATTTTCTTAACCGTAATGACATAAAAGGGACAAAATATGCAATGTGATCTTGCATATGGATTTGTAAAGGGTGAAGTTTATGACACATATTGCCATATCCTTCCCCTTGCAGACACTTAAGTTTTTAACCATTTTGTCACATATATGAAAAAGATGCATCATGAGGTTTAGATAATTCTCTCATCAATAGTTGCAGTCCCACATGCTAAGTCTAAACAGAAAAAGAGGTATAAAGAGAACATGCAGAAACTCTTGAGTTTGTTTCTGATTTGCTATTGGAAACGAGTGAAAGCAGTTTACCAACAGCACACCTGAGGAAGTGCCTATCAGTGGGCTTTACCTGTTATACAAATGCATTACTTTTTCCTTGAGTCCCTACTATTAGTCTAAATCTGGGACAGCAAAGTATAACTAGATCTCCTTCTTGTCCATTTATTCACATATGCTTAATTATCTGGGCTACCTAATTATTTCCATTGCAAGGGGGAAGTCAAAAGAGTTGGGATGAGGCAGGATTTCTACCAAATGAGAAAACACTACCCGCTCCGGTGGAACTACTGCAGAAACAAAGCAGAAGCTGCTCTGTTTTTACTGGCAGAGGGTTTCAGGAGGCCGTCGCAGCCAAAAACGGAGCTCGGGAGCCCGCTTTCACTGGCAGAGCACTTGGGTCAACACAGGTGACCCCAAAAAGAATGATGTTGAACTGGCCACACCCACCCTGGCCAAGCCCACCCCGGCCCCCCAAGGTCAAACACAATCCTGATGCAGCCCCCAATGAAATCAAGTTTGACACTGCTGTTCTATAGCAAGGATGTCCAACCTCGGCCATTTTAAGACTTTAACTCCCAGAATTCCCCAGCCAGCATGTTCACAAGGTTGGACTCCTTGCTCTATACATCAAATGTCCTTTCCCTTGCATCCACCCCTATTCTGACTAGTTCTAAGGCAAAACAAATTCCAGCAGGGGTGATTAGTATGTTAGCTGAGCTCATCCAATTTTTACATTTTTACTACTAGCTGCATCAGGAAGGCAGAGAATCCATCATTATCAGTTTGTAACATTTCTGCCAACCAATTTGTCCCAAAATCTAGACATTTCACCATCATTGGCCACCAGAGGGAGATATTGGATTTGAACTAGGGGCCTCTTATGAGTAAGAACTGCTTCTAGGAGTCAGAATGGAGAATGAGGAATAAGATGGGTCATAACTTGTTCTGTCGAGATAAGTTCTTTTACAATTATGCTCTACAATCTAGAC